GGCAAGGGAGTTGGAGGTTAGGGGTTAGTCTTAGGAGTTATGTCTGAGGCTTGTCTACAGCAGGTACGGCTACGAAGTAAGAGCCGATCAATAATCCTAGACCTTTTTCAATAGTTTTTAAAATATTAAGAACATCGACAAGTAGGCTCCACTTTGTCAAGTTTTGATAATTTATCTTCTTTCTTCTAATTGCCATCAAAAGCAGCTTTCTGCATAGCCAAATGTCTTTTGAATGCAGCGTCCGGCGCTGACATTAATTTAATCAAAATATATGCATTAAATAAGCCGTAGCAAAGCAGAAGTCCATTTATTTATTCTCCTATGGGGAGAAACGTAAACAACATGTGTGTGTCACTTTAAAAACTGCAGAACTTCCTATTCGAATACCAAGCGAAAGTTTGCTGTTATACGTGAGCGGTAATTTCTTGATATAGATTGATTTTCTAATCGCAAACTGTCGATATATGCTCATGCCAACTTCCCTTATAATAAGCCAAGGTGATTTGTGGGCAATGCAATGCGGAGTCTAAAAATAGAACTACTATCAAATAAATCGTTTGAAAAAAAGCTTCGGACACCGGACAACTCGGTAGTTCGTCATAACAGTGCAATGGTACTTTGGAGTAAACAAAGGTAACTAAAACGGTCACATGATTGGCAATATTACGTCACATTTTGTTTACTGCATACATAAAATCTTACTTATCTGCCTGCTTGCGAAAAAATCACATTTCCGTGTCTTATTTCACTTTCGAATAAGTGTATCAACATGGGGTTTCGTTTGTGAATTTTAAATAGCAGAAAATCTCCCTAAGATGGAAAGTATTTAAGACTTGTATTAAGTGGACTCAGATCATATTCACTGAAGACCTTCCCAGAGAATGTTTGGGTTGGCCCACAGGCACAACTCAAACAAGTTGTCTGCAGGCAAAACAGTTTTATAGGAAAGACTACGCATTAAAAAGCCTCAGAAGTTGCCATATTTTGACAAATGTAACTACCGTAAAACAAAGAAAAGCTTCTCCTGGTGACTGGCCAGTAAGGCCATGAACAGCCACTTGTTCAGTAAGATCCCAAAGATATCACAAAACTCGAGAGAACTCCATAGGCAGCTGCAAAAACCTGTTTCGCAGCTTTAATTTACGCGATTTTTTGGTAAATCAGATAAAATCACCTATGTATTGGTCAGAAGCATTTGAGAAATGCGTACGCAAATTTGTTTGATCCAGAATCATGCGAAAAGTAAGCAGAAAATTGCTTAGCGTCCAGTATCCGTTTGCCTAATACACAAGCATGTAAAAGACATGAAGAACGATATAAAAACATTTCGTTTGTTCGTACACTCGAGCGGGCTAATTGAGCTTCTGTAAATCATCTCACCCGTTCAACTCACATTACTTTTAAACAACTTATTATTACCCCTCAAAGACCTTGATGTTTTCTTCCTACTTAATATATGTAATTTGTTATCATTAAACTAATGGCGTGCATATGGCCCAGCCCTCATGGCAGTATGATTTTTGGCAAAAACGCACTACGCGACCCCACTCATACAGAATGAAGATCACATTCATGATACGACAAAGTCCTAACATAAAAACAACGGTTTTAAGTGCGCTGTGAACGGAAAAATTGTTGACGCTTGCAAATGCGAAAACGGACTTTAAGCCAGCTGTGATTGCTGCCTGTGGACGTCGGCGCGATGCTGCGATGATGAAGTCAATGGTTGGACCATCAACTGCGAAAGTGATCACAAAATTGTTCTCCAACGACAAGGTCGACGTATTCTGAAAGTATTTTAGGACGTATACTTCTCACAAAATAATGAGAATGGCAGGGACGCAGTATGAGGCCCCATTTGGGAAGCAGAACCACGTCATCATGTGATACGCTTTTTATGGGTGGGGCCAGACAGCGGAAAGGAGAGAGCCATAGGAGGTTAAGATTCGAATACATGTTGAGGCGGCATATTGCGTCCTAGAGCTGAATTTCTCTACAGCTACTCGCAAAAGAGTACACATAGCAGGAACCCGATCCCAGAGGAGTGATTAGGGTACCAAGATATCTGAAAGTACAGGCAAGCGTTGAGCATTTTTCGCAGTTATTTCAGCTTGTTTAAACTAAGGACGTAGATTACATTTCATCTAGTTAGGAGAGCGCGGAAGCGTCAATCATAACAAAGGCGGGGACGAAATATGCCGCGATGGTCTGTTTTTTGTTCCCTGAGTGGGGTCTCATACTGCGTCCCTGCCCGATTAGTTTTACGAGGTTCTGCATGTTCCGCACTTTCTAACACAATAATCAAAACGTTTCCCATTTCCGTAAATCTTTAAGTAAAATGCTGTCCTAAAAGCCATTAAGGTTTGCTGAGCCTGTCAATTAAAGCAGAATTAGTTCTATGATTTTTTGAAGATTTTTATCCCTGGAGAAAGACATGATAAAATAGTGAAGCAGGTTACAAATAGCATTTACCGTCCTTTTCAGAACTCTCGCGAATTTTTCTGTATTCTTGCATCCGACGTGGCAAGTGGGTGTAGTTTTCCATAGAAACAACACGTATTGACTGAGAAACGACCTTGTCAGTAGCCATTAGGCCCTAGACACCAGCTGCTGTTTAGTAACACAAGGCAGCAATGCGCTGTGTACTTTACGGCGACTCGGTTATGGTTTTCGTACTGGTTTCAATTGCTCTAAAATGCGACGCCGGCTCCACAAGCGTAAGTCTGGATGCTTTTAAACAGGGAGAGGAAATGTATGCGGTCGAGTAAAATGGTCGCGATTCAGCCTAACTAGGCTCATTTTAGAGTATTTGATGAAATTCAGAAGACATCAATTCTTCCTAATGATTTTTTTAACTTTAGCATATTCACTTTATGTGTTAAGGTAAACGACTTGCTGTCTTTTAAATTATTTTGCTGACAGAAATGCATGTTGCTTTGCTTACAGAACAAAAAGGCCTGATCCAAGAAATACGCTGATCTACGGTCCCTGACGGAAAAAGAATCCGCTAACTTTTAGGCAGAAATTGATGCCGTTTGCTGGAATTGGTGTGTGCGAATAAGACAAGGTCGACCCTTATGACCAGAGATGAGGAGACGTTGGAGGAGGGGGGGGTGAGGAGCAGAAGAGGAGGAGGGCAAGGAGAAAGAAGGGCGTCGTGTGGACAAACAGCTGTGACCTGTATGCTAATTGGTTTACTATAAGGCCGTTGTGAACAACGTTCGTCCCACTCTCCTCCTTCTCATGCCACTCGGGTTTTTCGAAACGTATGCTGCTGGCAGTGAGTTTGAGCGGACTTCGTGCACGGCAGTGTGTGTATGTGGACGGCTCACAAAGCTGAGATCCAAGGGTACGCGGACTGCAGAGAGTGAAAGAGCTTCTTTTCCGCGATCACAGCTGTCTATGGTCCGCCGACCAAAGGCACTGCTCCTCAGCGCCGACGGTAATACCCTCCTCACTGAGAAGTCACAACTTCTATAGCGATGGGCAGAGCGTTCTCAACCACCCCTCCACCGTCCCCGATGCCGCCATCGCCCGTCTGCCGCAAGTGGAGACCAAAGTGGACCCCGACCTTCCGTCCTCTTTGCATGAAACCACCAGGGCCGTGCAGCAGCTCTCCAGCGAAAAAGCACCCGGATCGGACGCGATCCCTGCTTAGGTCTACAAGTACGGCGGCCCCCAACTCATGGATCTTCCAGAAGATGTGGCGTCAAGATGGAGTCCCTAAATATTTTAAAGACGCAACAAATCGAGCATCTATACAAGCGAAAGTAAACTGCCAGCTCTGCGACAATCACCGAGGCATCTCCTTCCTGAACAGCGCCAGGAAGATCTTCACGTAAATCCTCCTCCACCGCCCAAATAATCACCTAGAACGCGGTCCTCTGCCGAGAAGGCAGTGCGGCTTCCGCCGTCATCGTGGGACCACGGATATGATCTTCGCCGCCCGCCAACTTCAGGAGAACCGCCAGGAGTTGCGGACCCACCTCTTCCATACCTTCGTGGATCTGACGAAAGCCTTCGAATCTGTGAATCGTGAAGGTCTGTGGAAGAGCATGCAGAAATTCGGCTGTCCCGAGGGATTCATTTAGATGGTGCTTTAGCTCCACGACGGCATGATGGCGCGCGTCAAGGAAAACGGAGCTGTCTCAGAGGCATTTGCAGTGACCAACGGAGTGAAGCATGGATGCGTCCTGGCATCCACCCTCTTCAGTCTTATGTTCTCTGACATTCTGATGAACGCCTACTGAGACGAACGTCCCGCGATCCGCATCGCCTACAGGACGGACGGCCACTCCCTCAATCAACAGCGGATGCATTTCCAATCGCGCGTATCCACAACCACTGTTCACGAACTTCTCTTCGCCGACGACTGCGCCCTTCGGAAGAGGGCATGCGAAGAAGCATGGACCTCTTCTCCGCTGCCTACGAGAACTTCGGTCTGGTCATCAACACGGAGAAGACGATAGTCATGCGTCAACCGCCACCAAACACAGTCACTCCCCCCCAATGCACCGCACATTAGCTTGAACGGAACCCAAATGCAAGTGGTAGACAACTGTCTGTGCCTGGGTAGTACCCTCTCCGACAGTACTAAGTTGTCCGCAGGATCCCGAAGGCCGGTCAAGCCTTCCGCAGCCTTAAAAGCACAGTTTGGAATCGTCATGCACTCCATCTGTCATTCTGCTGACGCTTCTGTGCGAGCAGAGACATAGACGGTGTACACGAAGTAAGCACGCCGACTCAACCACTTCCACCTCAGTTAGTTTCGTCGCATCGTGAGGCTGAGCTGGCAGGATGGAATCCCCGACACTGGTGTACTCGAAAGAACGGGAATCCTCAGCATCTACACCATTCTGAGACAACTGCAGCTGCGTTGGAGCAGTCATGTCGTGCGGATGGATTACGAGCGGCTACCCACAGGACTCTTTTATGGAAGCGTCATCACGGGTTCCCGCCGCCAATGAGGTCCAATTCGTCGGTACAAAGATGCTCTGAAGTACTCCCTGAAGCGTCTGCAAATTAATCCGACTAGGTGGGAAGACCTCGCCCGGGACCGACCGACCTGGGGGTGGACAGTGAAGAGAGGCTCTGCGATCTGTGAGGCCAACTGCATCGCCGCCGCAAAAGTCAAACGCGAAGAGCGCAAATTACAGCTGCGCCCACCTTGCAATGCCAACGCACAACCGCCTTCAACGTGTCATCGGTGACAGCGGACATTCTGGGCACGAATTGGACTACATCATTCGAACCGCATCAACCGTCGTCCCTCCGTCCGCCTCCTCCTCGTCCTCCACGCCGCCAACTAACTCTCGCCGCTCACCTGAACCGCCACTTCCATCCTCCTCCTCCTGCTCCTCGTCTTCATCCTCTTCCTCCTCCGCTACTCCAACTGCTCCCGTCGTGGCGCCTGCCACGCACATCAACACTGCACACAATCCTGACACATCCTCAACCATCAACACCACCACCATCGACACCAGAGGTGAGGACCAGGACTGCACCTGCCCTCACTGCGACCGCACCTTCACCTCACACATTGGCCTGATCGGTCACTTGCGAGTCCAGTGCCTGGGGCACCAACCTACACTCGCCGCACCTGCCTCTACTGCCAACACTGCCCTCCCAATTTCCCGCATAACATGGGCCTGTTCGGCCGCATGCGCACCCACAAGAGCGGAACTGACCGCAGTCTCGATATACCCACCACATCCAACACACCCATTACGCCTAGCTCCAGCCTCACTCTGTCGGTCTGTGCACTCACCACCACCACCACCACCGTCGCCACCACCTCCATAAACGACACTGACACCACCGACCTCTCACGCCCACACTTCCCCTGCACATTCACCACACGCATCGGCCTGGTCGATCACTTGTGATTCAATCGCATAGAGACTGGCAAACAGAGCCGGAAGCACCCACCTACATCCACTGCAACGGCTTTTACTGTTAACACTGCTCTGGCACATTCATGCGGCCACATGTGCATCCCCGAAAACATGCGTTAAACAACTGCCGGCCGCACAACACCACCAAACAGCCCCTCACCACCATCTCACCACACATCCACACCACACACCACAAGCACCTAGCTACCACCTCCCACGCCATTGAGAAGTGTGCGTCACGACTCGGTCTTCTTGCGGCTCCCGTTGCATGGGTGACTCGAGCCTGAGATTACCCCGACGCGTAAAGAGCCGTGGATAGGAAGGCTGCTAATTGAGCCCCAACTCTGTCCACGCAGTCCGTCCAATTATGTGTGTGTTTTGTGTGGAGTGGCGGACTGGTGGGCTAGGGGCCGGCACATTGACGCATGTGAGAGATACGCGCTAACCCGCGCTGTGTGAAATCCTGGTGTTTGTGTTTGGGAAACAAGGTCGTGTTTGTGGCGCACGCAGACAAGGTCTCTAGACCATGTCCGCCACCGCGCCCATTCCCTGCTGCAGTCACCTAACCGGCTCGGACAGGGGCTGAGTTGTGGGAATGGAAATGGAGAGTGAGGTAGACGACTGAGCGCACCTTCTCCTCACTATAAAGAATCGGACGCGCTTGAAGCTATCACAGTGCGCTAAAATCCGTGGCTTAGAAGTTTGCCAATAGATGGGATAACTTGGACCTCGCAGTCGGCCCAAGGTTGTGTGTGCTGGCGTGGATTGGCCGGCTGGTGGTCTGAGAGTCAGGCTGAAATGACTCCTTCTTAGAGTGGCCTTTATGACTCTCCTACTGTGTGGGATCCGAGCCGGACGTTGGCGGCACGCCTAGGTGCGGCTTCGGTCGTGCCAGCCTCCACTCTCGTTGTTGTTGTTGGTTAAAAACCTGCTTATACGTTGTGTGGACCAGGGGATTTGGTGGAGCGCCAAGGTGTCGGCCCGACCGTGCCATCCAACTGCGGCCTCCTTCGCCTCTGGTCTTCTTGACCTTGTCTTGACACCGGGCCCAGGTGAGGGAGGAGGAGAGAGTGCGTTAGGTGCAGTGCAAGTCTACTACCAACATAAATTACATTTTCGAACAAGTCACCGTTTCGGCTCCGCTCTGCCCTGTGGCACACGGTGGACATCGTCGAATCCGACGGTCGAACTATCATGTGACGAGAAATTGCCTTTCACTCGCCGCTGATGAACGGGGCTTTCAGCCCTGTGAGATACATGTCCATTAACACTGTTATAAAATGTCACTAAAATGTACTGTTTGTCGGATTATCCCGCGTCTTAGTAGGACAGCCATCACAGGACTCAGAAATTAGCAAGGCCTCCATATGTCCTGCCTCCAGGTCAGCATACTTCGGAAATTGTTGGTGGTTTGTAAGGGAGGATTGCGCAGTCTTGGCCTCCGAATTCTGTTGTCACCCTTAGCATGATTCAGTGAAAGAATAAGAAGTTAGGGACGAAAAGCACTGAAACCGAACCCAGTGGTTGGGCGGAAGCACAAAGAATGCCTTTGCCTCACAATTAGCTAGTCAGGCAGTTTCCTGTGAAAAATGTGACTTCGTCAAGTCAGTCCATTTAAGAATACGTTCGGGGCCAATAGGTAGGTATCACAAACCCTATTGAAAGCGCAGGTGTCCCACTATGCCGTCAAATGACGTAGGTTCGGCAGTCTTGACTCCTAAAATAAGAAGATAATAGGGGATTCAAACATTTAAATCGAACAAATGCACAATAAGGGGTGAAGGGAGATTTAACTGTAGAAAGGTCCATTGATGGGTAGCCAACCAAGTTTTTCCATAAGGCACTAGCAGGGATTAGGTGCGCACATTGGCCAATATACAGTGCGTGAAATTCGCGAATGACTGTCAATTACTCACAAACCGACATCATTTCTGGAATTCAATGTCCATGTTAGTTGAACACAAGCTAAAAACAATTAAAAACAAAAGAAATATTAAAGGTAGTGTAGCACTGTTTAGAAATGGCGAATTTTTTTGAAAATCGCAAATACTGAAAACGCCAAAAGTGGCCGTAATTTGGTAAACTTCGTTTTGAGATATATAGTATGTATTCTCATACTAAAAACTTTTTAAATATGAAACTAAAAATAAAAACATTTGATAATTGTGTTTCAGTGAAGATTACATCTAAATATCGTTTAATAAATAGTGTGATTTCATATATGACGGTTGAGTTAAATGAGTTGGGGTTCATAAAAAGAAACTAGATGTTGCCTGACTTCACCGATGGTGACGTTGTAGAAACAAGCGTTTTCGTAAAGTGACTTGTTGTCAGGCCGATTAATTATCGAAGAAATCAAAATAGAACAGATAGGCGTGATCGTCAACATACCATTTTGTGTTTACAGATAGAACTTTTCTTTCGTTAAATAAATTTAAATCATTCGTTTGTTTTGAATTGCGTTGAATTTCAGGTCGGCCTTGAAATGTTGCTGAACGCTTCATGGTTTCCAATGTTTTCAACGGATCGTTCATAAAGAGTGTTTGGTTTCATTGGTCTATTCGAAAGACGAAAACAAAAGGATTGAGTACATGGGTTTTTTACGAAATATATGTGATAGACAGATAAGGGCGCGGTAGACAATGATAGTAGTCGTCCTCTGCTTCCTCATGGACTCATGTGGCATGAGAGTTTTGGTGTTTTTGTGTATTATGGCTTTGGAAAAAAAATGATCACTGCTTCTCGAAAAAGATGGTATCGGCACAACTTACTGTCGAGCAGGGGTTGGTCCGCACTCCGCGTTCAAGACGACTAATAATGCGCCTGGACACAGTGACCGGTTGCGTTAAACAGTTCGTCTGCGTGCGGCGTTCATACGCTACTTAAGTCAATAAGCAGAGAAACTGCGCATTGTCGTCATTGTCAAATGTTGATTTTCTGGGCACTCGTATTTCGCTAGGGTTCCGCCCTGAAAGCGTTCATATATTTTTGCCATTACTTTTTATGTTTACTGCACTTCTTAGGAACCTTTTCTTGCATGCGCTCATTTTCAAAATTCCGTACAGGTCAACGAAATAAAGATATATTCTTGCCCTTCGCATGAAACATTGTCATCAGTGCGTTAAAAGTTGTGTGCTTGCGTTGGTTATTTACGTTTTACTCATTACAAAACTTTCCTTTATGTATAACCCGTTCCTTTATTGAAGAAATTGAATGCATGCAAGTTCCTGCGGATAGACCCTACATGGTCTGTCTATCGTCGTCAGTCCGCTGCGCAGTGATACATGGCGGATGAGTACCTAAGGCGTGAACCCGGGTGCAATTATCCAAAGATTTTTGATTCGTCGTAATTTGACTAAGGATCACGATCTGCAACCGGCAATCGAAAATGCCGAAAAGGATAGGTGATTTGGAAGAAGAAGAAGTAAATACGATGACCGGAACCAGAAGTGTATTGGCCTGACGTCTCGGATTCTCACTCGAACCCATCATGAGAGGCAGTTGCAGATAAAAATTTTTGGAGGTTCAACTACTGCTGTATTTACAGGACGTGAAAGGTGTGAGCCCGCATGCGTACTATAATCAGCAGCTCTCGTGATGACCGCTGGGGCTCGTATCTGATGCGATGAGGGCTTGGCATTCCCCGCCTGAGTCAGTAAGTGCCATAATTTCATCAATCGTATTGAATGTTGGCGTGATGATTACCCGACAGTTTGGCCCTCTGCCACCAGGATAGTTGATCGCCCTCGCTCTTCCCACGTGACTAATTCCCCTGCTCAGGGAATTTCTCAGCACCGAACATGGTAAAATAAGTTGTTTGCTGCCTAAGTTCTCTTAGATGACAATTCATTCCACGGGACCCGGACATATTTTCATGTTTCCAGAGGCTGAATTCCTCGTAAGAACTGATAACCGCGTCAGCAGTGAGCTGCTCGAATCATGCTTCACAGGCTCACAATCCCGCAGCAGGCGCATGGACCTCCCGGTACCATATTTGGTACTGAGATATTCCCTGAACAGGAGAATCAGTCACGTGGGAAGAGCGCGGGCGATCAAATATCCCGGTGGCAGGGGCCAAATTGCCGAGTAGTCGTCATGTAATTGCGACACTTAGTGATTTGGACGCGGACTGACGAGCCATCATTGCCGTAATTACGACCACCAGCGGTGATCACGAGAGCTGTTAAGTATAGTACGAACGTGGCACCACGACAGCAACGTAAGATAAATTCTGCAGTCTTTGTGCCTCCACTGCCTTTATCAGTACCCGTCTCAGATGATGGTTTCGAGTGAGAATTCGAGACGTCAGGCCAATAGACTTCCGATTCCGGTAATCACATCTTCTTCCTCTCAACTGCTTCCGGGAACGCGTCTATTCGCAATTATTGGCACAGGAGATTAGCACTTATCGATATCCGGTTTAACAGGAGCAGCTTCTGTTTTTGACTGAGGAAATAGGAAACCCCGGTGATTTCTAGACTGCGTCTACTAGCTGTCTGTGGTTTTGAGTAGCTGCACTTGCTGTGCATTTGTGAACGTTGTAGGTGGACAGTAACTCGCTGTTCCCAATAGATAGTCGGGGTTGGCCTCCTCAGTTCTCATACAAGTTTCCTAATGGTTGTCCAGCCGTCGGCTACTGCGTGGAATCCGTCGCATAGCGGTTGAAACGCCAGATAAAAGGATCTCCAAATATGGCACCATGATCCTAGAAGGCCAGTAGCAGTGGAGTGGATGGCTTCCAGTGATACCACCCGAAGCTCTATAGAGTACTCTTCCTCAGGAATTTAAACGTAGTCCAGGCAGACATCATGATTGATGAGTAACTTCCGCCTGCGTACAGCCAGTTGCAATGCCGGCTGCATTCGGTTTCTCTGGTGTTTGTTCTCAGAGACCATCTCCTCGATTGGA